AAGATCTTAGTGTCTTTTAATTGAAAAAGTAAAACTATAAAAAAAGACATTTGGGGCTTGTTTTGCTTTAAAGGGATGCTGACTTAGGGCATGGTATTAATTCAAAAATCAGTGAAGGAGCTTTGAAGATTTTCAAAGGCTTTAATTAAGAGTTGAAGAGAATGGAGCAGATACCTTTCTCAAAATATAAAGATATATGTACGTGTGCACACATGCACATATGGACACGTAAAGATATGCAACTCGTAGTATATATATGTAAACTATATAACGATATATATATATAAATATATTTACAAACTATATATATATATCTATATATATATAATGATACAACAAAGTGAGAGATGCTGAAGATGAACGGCGCTGAAGTGAAACTGTGAAGCTGAAGACTAATTCCTTGTTACCATTGCCTGTGAGTGTGGCTGGGACAGGGTGTCTTGGACAGGTGATGGCACAAGCGAGCACCTCATTTTGTGGATACGAGGGTTTCTATAGGCATCTCCAGTCCTGCAGACTGTGGCTCTCTGCAAATACGGGGCACCCTGCAAATATACACGGCCACCGACATGATTTGTATTGTGCCAGGTACTGACTTGGAAGCAGAAGTTTTTGTTGTTCTGTGGGAGGAATAGAAGAAATCAAACTAAGAATTTAATTGTACTGAACAGTTTGCATTTGTTTCGTATTTCCAGTGTTCAGTGTAGGCTGCCATTTCCTCTTCCTGCTCTTCGTATCCGTGCGGATGGCATGAGTGCTCGTTACCTCCCTGCGCATCCGTGCACTATTGCGTACGCGCTGGGCTGCACATCTTCCAAGCGGGTGCCAAACGTGTGGATCCGCTCTTGGGGCGGCTGAGACGGCAAGTAAAGAAGCCAGATGGGAATGGGCACAACTTGCAGTGCTGCAGCAGCCCCCAGCGTCGGAGGATGGGAGTCTGGCGGGAGGGAAGGCAGAAGGGGTCAGAGCAGAGAGCGAAATTCATCCCGGAAACGAAGCTGCCAGGCCCAAGTCAGCAGGGGATTCTGCCAAGTTAGACTGTGTGCGTTGATGGGATGGCTCTGTACTCGTGGCCTTTGAAGCCTTGTTCCTCCTGGGCGGGCAAAAGCAGGAGCAGGTGGGCTCGTAAATGAGCCCTGCGGCGCTTCTCCTCGGCTGCCCGGGCTCCCGGCTCCCTGGAGCGAGCTCCGGCCTGGCCTGTCCGGCCCCCGGCGCAGCGCGTGCTGGGCGGCCGATGCGCAGGCAGCGTGGAGGCCTCCGTGGCCTGGAGCAGGGGACGGGCAGAGCTGGGCCCCCGCGAGAGGGAAGAGAATCCCTGGCTGCAGCGAGGTGAAGCAGCGCGTAAGGCAACCTTGCTTTTAATTTATTTTTATTGTTGTTCAAAGCTTATGGGCTGGGTTTTGTCGTGTTTTTGGATACCTGGCAGAACTGTGAAATTGAATACCTAAGCCTGCCTTTTTGGAAGTATATTGAAGGTCTAATTGAAGATAAGGAGTAAGAGCTCAGACAGGAATGTGACTGTTTTACAGGGGGGGAAAAAAAAACCTTCCGTCTGGTGCTGTGAGGTTTTTGTCCCTCTTGAAGCGCCCTGTGTGAGCTGGTGCTGCGAGGTAGCCATTGTCTGGACGCATCTTGCTTACATGAAGTCAGTTACTGCACTGCTTGAATTGTGTCGGGTAGCCTGGGATTTTTCCTGGCTTTTCTATGGTTATGGAGAGGAGCTGATAAGATTTTTATTTGTCATTCTTGAACGACCTGTTTCTTTTTAGTGGTATGGGGAAAACTTGGTTGGTTCTCATGCAGGGGGGATTGCTGTGGCTTGCCCCCCGTGCACCTTGCCTTGCACGGGCTGCAGCTCTTCAGTCCATGTGGTCCTTATTTTTTCAAATCTCTCTCTCTGAAAGTTCTCTGCTCAGTCTCACCTTCAGTTTTAGTGTTACATCTGCTGTACCTCCCTGTATTTCAGGACTATTCTTTGAATTTGTATTATAGTAAAGTGGATAGGGTCTTGCAGGCTGAAATGGTAACAGGCTCTCAGATTTGTCCCTGACATACGGTTGATCTCATTTCTGTTTAAATCAACAGAAGGAAAACGCAATGCTTACAGTATGATAACATTGTTGGGTTTGTATTATTTTTCTTATGTTATTGGAGAACTATTGCCAATGTGTAATTTTGTTGTGTGTGTTTGTTTGTTTGTTTTCTCCATTTGCTGCCCTTAGGTCAGGCAATAG